AAATTGGTGTACATGTACTTTGTAATAGAAGTTATAGAATCCAATAAGCTTGGTTTCAAATCGAGCAAAGGTCACAATCATAAATTAAGCAATCAATTAATTCCTCTTAACTAGCCAAGGTCATGAGTTCTGATACTGAAAGAACATAAACTACAACTTAAAATATAGATTCATAATAATAGTTACAAAACTATAAGAATACAATACAGAGATTTAGCTCTGAAAAACAGGAAGTGTTTCGTTTAATAATTTACTGCCAAATGTTTTATTATTTTTGAACGAATGATGAAAAATGAAGAAATTTACAGAGAATTTAACAGTTCACAATTTTATGCAGTTGGTTCAATTTTTACTTGTGTCATGAATCTGTGTTTTTTTAAATCATGGCATTCATGTTAATTTTTAAGTACTTAAGCATGGTTTGGGAATGAAACAATATCGCTTCGTAAAAGGATTGTACTGTAATCCATGTTCAAGATTATTTCCCACCCAATATGGAAAGAAAATACCCTGAACCGTATGCTTCATGCATATGTATTATGCTATAGGAACATTATGGCTGCATACTTGAATTTATGCATACAATTATGAATATGTGCTTGTGATTAGTAATCATATTTATTTTTTAATCAGTGCATAATCATCTTAATTATGCTTGTGTGCAAAAATGTGTTTGCAATTGGATGGGGGTGGGGAGAAATTGGGGGTTTATTCATCTACTTGAAAAAACTCAGTAGTGATGATATTTAACTAGTAGTCAGTGCTATGTGCTAATCTTTTACGTCGTCATTTGACGTTGAATAAATTAATGTCTTTTTTCGACTATTTTTAAAGCTAGTTAGTCAAAATAAATTGTACGTGTTAAAAAGTTTTCAAGATGAAATCCAATATAAGTAGGAAAGCTACAGTAATCAAATGTTCAAGTCAAATGAATAAAAAATGATCTGTCAAATTTTGTGTTCCTTGTGTTATTCTACGCATTGTAGTATCGTAATAGATGTGGAAAAAATCTACATTCACCCAAACTTCACCATTAACAGAACATTTATTTTGATGTACAGTAGTTCGACGGGTGTTCCTCTTTCATGACAATGCAAATGACCCAGGCATGGATCCAGAGCTCACCCTGACTATCGCACAGATGGGCTGAGAAGATCCGAGTGCTTTAAAACAGATATCGGGCTATATGAACTGAAGTGGTGGTAGTTGAAACTTCATGATCATCTGCTGCTGCAGTTACTTTAGGCCTGCTTTTTAAATTTCAATCTCTCATCCTGACCTTCACCAAGGCCAACAGTTTGAGGAGCTGAATCCGCGCGTCTGTGACCTAGACGCATTACACTGGAAATATGTAGCCTGCTGTACAAATATACTCATAGTTAGTGATGTTGAGCTGATGATGATTTTTATTGTTTACTACAGTAGTGGTGATGGGTGTACATATCCAGATTCAAATACTTAAGAATTTTAAAATTCTAGCAGTGTTTTGTAAAGCAGTATACATTCAATCGTAACAGCATACTCTACCTCGTTATATTTAGTACAAGCATGAACGTATATCATAACCTAATATTAACTGCAAGGGGAATCCTGCATTCTGGAGAGCAAGCAAAATTCACCAAAATTATCCCAGAAACTAACCCATCATCTAATGACGTTTTCATTCTTGTAAGCAAGACGTCTTGTATTTAAACATTATTTCTTTGATTTACTTCATTCTCACCCAATACACGGCCGGCAATCAATCAAGCTTAACAACTAACCAATTAAAAAAGTGCCAGTGTTTTCCTACAAATGCACGTGTTTACTGCTGTCGTTTTGTGGGCTTAACAACAAAATATCCAAGGGGGAAGGAGGAAGGTTTAGCAGAACAATGCAAAATACATAGTTATCAACCTGAGAAATTTGAAATGCCTGACTACACCAATCAAAAATTTGTGACAATGAACGCGCAGGACCGCACTCGTCTCCCAAATTCAACTATGTGCGTGTTTGGCTAAGTTGTCTTGGTTGGAAAAGAGATTTTCTTGGCAATTTGATTCTGGAACGATAGCGAAAGCCCTTCACGGTTTACATATTTTTAATAAAACCAATTTCTTATCATTTTAAATAAATTTCCCTCTGAATTCGTGCTAAATGCGGGACAAATTTATGATTACGCATATGTTTCTGCAAAATGCGTGTTTCATCCAAAATCATGGGAAACCGTCCCGCATGAGGCGAGACGGTTGATAACTAGACTATAAAAATATACATATTTCTTATGTTCTGTGGATTAAGTCTTGATTTAATGCTCAGTGATTGGAGTTGTTTTTAGTCATTAGAAACAAAAGGATATGAATTATGAACCAAGAACCACGAGAAGCAAGCACTTCGAAAACAGATAGGCCCTAAGTGATAGTGATAATGTAAATGTAATCACGATTACAATGACTTCCTTGTACCTTGCAGATCCCATTTCAAAAAACCCCGCTAGAGATCAGTATTAGAAGTCGAAAGGGTTTGTGATGACAGGGACTTGGACTTCATTGAGTTTTGTTTTTGGGGGTTTACCAAACCAGATGAGAAGGTCTTTGGTAACGAATCGTGAAACAAAACCCACAGAATACTGTATATAAAGGTAAGATGAAAAGGCATTGACGCAATATTAATATAAATAACATGAAGACGACCACGCAGGCTCGTAGGTAGTTGGTGGGTGGGGGTGGTGTGCAGATGATGCGGCGGGACGCACCTCTCCCCCTCCCCATTTGAAAAGGTCATATCAAAGCTATATTTCACTATCGTTCGCAATTATCGCGAAATGCTTATCATCATTCCATTTCGTTTTCCAGCTGTTCTACCCACTTTTTTTCTAATAACTGCATGGAACGAAATTTGTTGGAAATTGATCAGCTCCGGTGATTGCACATTGATTCATATGAACAAAAAGCTGTTAAAATGTTCCTACACAATTTGATGAAAATATTAGGCCTATTTCTTCAGGTCTCTAGCAACACCAAATAAATGGAAATTTATACAGAATTTTCACAAATTATGAGTTTCAGAAATCCATTAAATAAAAACCTTAAAATCCCACTTTGTCAGCGGAGCTTCTAAAAAATACCGTGGACCCCGCTAATGGTCCAATGCTCACTTTGCTCTGAAACACACTCCTTCCCCACCATTAGAATTTCTGCCTACAGGCCAGGACATTTAAAACTGATTTATTTCTATTATCTTTGATAACTTTTAATGGGGTTTTTTTTTTTCTGATTTTTTAGATAATAAATATAGGTATATAGGCTTATGCTTATATCCCATAACAGCACAATTCTTTTTGCGTTTTTTTTAATTTTTTTTTTTATACATGACACTCATTTCTTTAGGATGTCTAAGACCCGTCAATAAGAGCGTGTAGGCCTACTATTGAGCCACCACCATTTTGACAATTATAATAGAAACTAATTGTCCATTAAAATTGGTCTTCATGGTAAATTCTACAAGATGAAAAATAATTCTTAATAAATAGAAAGGTTGGTATTGTGGCCTACACCATCGCTCTCAAACGTCGACAACCTTTCCGCTAAGCCCCGACCCTTCGATATTTTTGCTATTGTATTTTATCCAACTGAAAATATTGAGTTACGTATAAGGGACAACAAGGCGTATTCTTAAGGCCAACTCAGACAGCGTCGGCCGACGCAGCCCGACGCGATTTGTTGTCGCGTCGGGTCTGTGTGAGTTGAACGCAGACGCGATGGTGTGCGTCGGGGGCAGTCGCGTAGTAGAATATTAGACGTGTTTAATATTTCTCACGACGGCTTAAGACTGTCCCCGACGATAAATCGGGTCGGGCTGCGTCGGCCGACGCTGCCTGAGTTGGCCTTTAGCGATGATCTGATCGGGCAGTTGTTAAGTTTGATTCGGTCCTACTAAATACCACACGGAACCACTCGCGACCACACGGGACCACTCGGGACCGCTCGCGACCACATGGGTGCAAAAATGATAAAAATATTACCACACGAGAGTAGAAAACTACTTAATAATCAATAGAAACCAACTTTTAGTACGGTAATTATCCAAAATATGGTAAAAATGATTTTTTTTTTATACACATCTAGATGTGTATAAGAGACAGGTAATGCGGTGACATTGAGGTTCTGTAACGCATTCACGGCTCCAGAAACGCGTTCACTCTTGACCTCTACAACATTCACTACGTACAGTACGGTACGTTACATTTCATCCTGCGTGTATGCCTATTCTATGTATAGGCCTATTATTCTACTATAACTGTATTTATTACTGTATCTGCTTTGTATTTTTTATACTTATGCGTTTTTGACTCTTATTATTTTTATTATTATTTTTTTTTTTATTTGTATTGATCCTGTAGTTATGTTATGTTTTAGCCCAGAGACAAATCTAGTTAACTTCTTATGAATAATGTTTTTAAAGATGTATTTTGAGATGTTTTCTATGAAAATAAATAAATAAATGGCAGTAGTACCGCTTTTTGTGTTTCAATGTATT